GGTTCTGCCAGGACCTCGGCCTTGAAGATTCTGGACCCCATTCACCATCCGGGGCTTCACTGCACCAGGGCTTTTCTCACTTCTCCAGTCCAGAGTTTGTACACTGAGTCCCACGAACCTCCTCTTCACCTCCGTCGTTTGAAACTTTCTTTACAATCTGCTACCAAGCTTCGATCCTTACCACAGCATCACACCTGGGATTGTGTCTTTCTTCCTCGGTGGGCAATGCTCTTTCAGAACAGATGGTCTGCTATTCCTCCCCTTTTTCCTTCGTATCCGGGCACAACTGGCTGAATTGGGCCTGGCATTGGATGACATTGCTGTTCCCAATGATCAGCCCATTCTAACATGGCTTATTACCATCCCTTTCTGTGACATTTCCCTAAGTCATCCGAGGAAGACGGATACTTCCGATTGGAAGTACCATCTTCTTTTTGCTGAATATCTTTTCAGCCATTCTTCTCTTCCTGTTTACATGGATGGTTCGAAATATTGGGTGACTCTGTAGGTTCTGCCATGGTGTGCTGTGGCTCGGTAGTTGCTCACAGTATCCCTCTACAGTTTCTATGTTCACTGCTGAGTTGTATGCTATTTCTCTTGCCCTGGATCTTGTGGAAGCTATGCAGTACAGTAATTGAACTATTTACACTGATTCTCTGAGCTCTCTACTGGCCCTGGAATCACTTAACGTTAGTTCTCACCCTGTTCTCATCGATATTCAACAACGACTGGCCCAATTTTCTCTATCTTCTGCTTCCATCCAGTTTTTCTGGATACCTGGCCACATCGGTATTCACGGGAACGAGCTTGCTGACACTGTAGCTAAGTCCGCCTGCTCTGGTGCCGTCACGGCCGTGCCTGTCCTGTACATGGACTACGGTCCTGTCTTCAAGGCGCGGCTTCGTGCCAGTTGGCAGTCGACTTGGAGTGAGCAACGTCATAACAAGCTTTTCCAGATCAAACCTTCTGCTGGCCTTTGGCCATCTTGCTTCTGTATTGACCCACCATTGTGACACTTAAGTCACAATAGCCCACATTTTACTGTCGTGCCATTGCTACGACCGTGAGTGGTGGCACCATTTTAGACACGCATTTTTTTTAAGAGTTTACCCCTGACGTTGGACAGTGTCATTGGTAATGGTGACACTGTCCGACTAGATTGTATTTTTAATTTTTTTATGCACTACAGGTCTTTTTAATTGTATATAAATCTTTTATCGACATATTTTGGTTTTAACTTGTTGTATTTTTACATTTTATTCTAATTTACTTTCACTGTTTTTACTGGTTATTTGGCACTGATAGACTCATTGCTTTGCGCCGTAAAGCACCAAACAACCAACCATCCATGTTGGTGTGCTTGTTTTTCTTAGATCTTTTCCTACATCCTCGGCATGCACTTTTATTTAGGTCCTTCTATTTTGCTGAGTGGTTTTTGGAGATTTTTCTGACTTATTGAAGTCCAGGGTGAGGGCTGCTTATCAGCACTTCTCCCTTTCCTCCTTGCTCTCTTGTATTTCACAGCCTTTACCTACTCTTGTTCCTGTTTTCTCTCCCCCCTTTCTATTTCTTTTCCTGTCCCCTTCTCTTGCTCTTCGACGGCTCATCAATACTTACTCATCTCTAAGTACCCTGCTGCCAATGATACTGGTAACTATACTAGGTTTTGGTGAGTTTCGAGGACATTTGGCTTGGTTTATATACCTGTGGTTGGATTTCACCTTGGCTTCTTAAACACTTCAAGGGTTATCTGAAGGACTTTATATTTGTTTCATCACTCCACCTCCCTTATCCTCATTTCACATTCCTTTCCCTTCTTGAGATTCAGTTTTGTTACCAGCATCTCTGAAATATTTCAGACTATTCTTCTCAAGGATGCTATATTATTCATTTGAGAGGGTTCTTCAACTCCTATCTCAGTCAGGCCAGCCTTCTCCTCTTCAGTTGAGATTGGAGAGGTTAGTTCTCAACTCTTAATCCTCTTCTTCTTCTTCTACTGCTTGAGAGATTCTTTCTCTTTTGGGGATTTGGGTTTTCATGGAAGTCCTCATCCCATAGGATCATGCTCATTTGCAGACCTTTTAGTGGGTATTGCATGATAAATGGAATCTTGTTCAGAATCTCCTGGACTGAGTTCTACTCCCCTCACTACATATCTATTTGGCCTAATGGCTGAAATAGGATCAACACCATGGTGGGTATTCCGC